GGGGGGGGGGGGGGGGGGGGGGGGGGGGGGGGGGGGGGGGGGGGGGGGGGGGGGGGGGGGGGGGGGGGGGGGGGGGGGGGGGCAGTGTCCGGATCCACCCTGGGCCCCCCATTTTTGGCAGGAACTCACGTGGCTGAAGAGCTCGTTCGTCAACCCAAGGTAGTTGTGCAAAGCCAAGAAGGTGACGCGTTGCAGGCGCACCATGATGATCTAGAAGGGACCAAGAAGCCATCGGTGGTCCCCTGTCACCCCCAGGGGACCCCCCTGTGGTCCCCCCAACCCAGACTCACCTGCACCACCCGCACCAAGCTCTCGGGGTACTTCTCAAAGACGGCCGAGAAGGCTTCAACTGGCAACCGTAGGACGGTGGAGTCCTCGGCCGCCCGGGCACAGACCGTCCGGTATGGTCGCTGGTGGCCCTAGGTGACACACCGTGGCGTTGGTGGCCTTGCCAGGACGGGGAGGTCCATCCCGGCCTTGGCTGGGGGACAGCAGCAGCTGGGGGCTGGCGAAGCTCACTGGTGGCACTGGGCTTTTGGCCAGTTGGGCTTGGGGATGGCCATGGTCGGGCTGGAAGGGTTTGGGGATGGCCACAGTTGGGTTGGATAGGTTTGGGGACAGCTGGTGGGGCCGGGAGGTGGCCATGGTTGGGCTGGGAAGGTTTGGGGACATCTGTGGTCAGGCTGGGAGGCGTTGTGGACAACCAGTGGGGCTTGGGGACAGCCACAGTTAGGATGGGGGGTGTTTGGGGACGACCACGGTTGGGCTGGAGGGGTTTGGGGACCACGGTTGGGCTAGGAAGGTTTGGGGACATCTACAGTCAGGCTAGGGAAGCTTGGGGACAGCCAGCTGGGGCTTGGGGACAGCCACAGTTAGGCTGGGGGGTGTTTGGGGACATCCACGCTTGGGCTGGAGGGGCTTGGGGACAGCCATGACCAGGCCTAGGGGGTTTGGAGATGGCCACAACCAGGCTTAGGGGGCTTGGGGACAACCACAGGCGGTCACGGGGCACATTGGGGACAGCCACGGCGCCGGTACCGTGATGACATCGAGGATGCTGAGCAGGCTGTGCACGCTGTCCCCGGGGAACACCTCCTTCATTACCGTCTCCTTCCCGTCCTGCGAAGCGCAAACTCCTTCCGTCCCCGTCCCCCGCAGTGTCCCCACCCCGCCGCCACCTCCCCGTGTCCCCCTCGTTGTCCCCGTCCCCGCACCGGTTCGGTGAGGAACAGCTCCAACTTGCCGTCCTGCAGCACGTAGATGCTGGTGTCGGGTTGGCCGGGACGGAAAACGTAGTCGCCCTGTTGGCACTGCTGGAAAACCATGTGCTTGCAAAGCTCCAGGAACAACGGCTTCTCGAAGTGACCCAGCACCCTGCGGGGACGAGGACGGGGACAGCGGGTGACGCAGAGCCTGCGCCCTGGCCGGCTGCCACGGGGGATGCAGAGGGAAGAGCATCCTTCAGCGGAGGGGTCCAGCCTGCTCTTACGAGGGTCTCCAGGGTTGGATCCTGACCCCCAGGGACGGGTCCTGACCCCTCTGAGGCCTAATCCTGACCCACAGAGGCCTGATCCTGACCCCTGGCACCAGATCCTGACCCCCAGTGATGGGTCCTGACCCCCCTGGGGCCTAATCCTGACCCACAGAGGCCTGATCCTGACCCCTGGCACCAGATCCTGACCCCCAGGGACGGGTCCTGACCCCCAGATCCTGACCCCCAGGGATGGGTCCTGATCCCCTTGGGGCCTAATCCTGACCCACAGAGGCCTGATCCTGACCCCCAGTGATGGGTCCTGACCCCCCTGGGGCCTAATCCTGACCCACAGAGGCCTTATTCTGACCCCTAGGGACAGGTCGTGACCCCTCTGAGGCCTAATCCTGACCCACAGAGGCCTGATCCTGACCCCTGGCACCAGATCCTGCCCCCCAGGGATGGATCCTGATCCCCGGCACCTCAAGGATGGATCCTGACCCCTGAGGGCAGATTCTGAACCCTCTGGGGATGGATCCTGAGCCCTGGCATCAAATCTTGACCCCCTGGGGCCTGATGCTGATCCCCAGCGCCCTGATCCTGATCCCTGGCACCAACTCCTGACCCCTGCGGCCAGATCCTGATCTCCCTGGGGTCTGGTCCTGACACCAAGGGACTGATCCCAAACCCCTGGGGATGGATCCTGACCCCCCTGGGGCTTGATCCTGAGCCCTGAGACACATCCTGACCCCACCTGGGGGCCCGATCCTGAGCCCTGGGACAGATCCTGACCCCCAGGACAGATCCTGACCCCCCTGGGGCCTGATCCTGACCCTCGGGACACATCCTGACACCCCCCACCCAGATCCTGAGCCTCACCGGACATTTTTGAGCATGTAGAGAACCTCGGAGGGCAGATGGGAATTGGCCACGTCGAATTCGGTCAAGTCGGCTTCCAGCACCGAGGGCGGAGGCTCCTTCAGCTGCAGCGTGGGCAGCTCCTTCTGGATGCGCAGGAACCTTGGGGACAAGGAGGTGACATCGGGGCACGGCCCCCCCCACCCCACCCCCTTCTCCCGGCGCCGCTGGCACCTCACTTTTTGGCGATGTTGAGCATCTTGAGTTTCTTCTTCATCCGGGGCCGTGAGGCGCTGGAAATGGTGGTGTCCACCAGGGACGAGGTGGACTGGGACACCTGAGGCAGGGGACACCGAGCCGGGGTGTCACCCGCTGGCGCCACCACGATGTCACCCCAGCTGCCACCCCGAGCGTCACCTTGCGCATGATCTTGCGGCCGTAAAAGAGCATCTTGTCCCGTTTTCGGAAGCGGTATTTCGGTGTCCCCTGCGCGGGTATTTCTGGGGAACGCAGTGGGGAGGGGTTAGCGGGGCGCAGCCCTGTCCCCTCCTGTCCCCAAGGCCACCACAGTGCTGTCACTCACTCTTAAGGCGCAACCGGCGGACCAGGACCACGATGGCGGTGGCGATGATGACGGTGAAGAGGCCAAGGCCGAGCATCGCCCCCAGCACCTGTGGAGGGAGAGGTGGGGTCCCCATGCAGCCCCCCATGTCCCCCAGGGGATGGGGACAAGCACAGGGCGGGGTCAGTGGTGACACTGTCACCTGGGTGACACGGAGGGATGGGAGGGGCAGCATCAGGGATTTGTCCCTAGAGGCGTGGGGACAAGTTCATGTCCCCTCAGGGGTGCTCATCCGTACCAGGGACCCTGGACACTGTCCCTTGGGGACATGGGGACAAATTTGTGTCCCCTCAGGGTGTTGGGGATGGCAACGCTGTCCCTTAGGGACATGGGGACACATTTGTGTCCCCCAGGGGTGCTCAACCACACTGAGGACCTAGACACTGTCCCTTGTGGACACATTTGTGTCCCCTCAGAGGGTGAGGGATGGGGACACAAATGGGGTGCTCACAAGCACGGGGGGACCTGGACACTGCCCTGTGGGGACACGAGGACATGTTTGTGTCCCTTGGGGGTGCTCAACCATGTTGGGGACATAGATGCTATTCCCCGGGGACACATTTGTGTCCCCTCAGGGTGTCCTCAACTGCATTAGGGATGGGGACGCTGTCCCTTAGGGACACGGGGACACATCTGTGTACCCCAGGGGTGCTCAATGGCTTTGGGGACCTGGATGCTGTCCCTTGGGGATGTGGTGACACGTTTGTGTCCGCTTTGGGGGTGGGAGATGGGGACAGTGCCCTTGGGGACACGGGGACATGTTTGTGTCCCCCGCGGGGTGCTCACCGCGCCGGTGGGGAGCTGCTCCTCGGCGAAGAGCTTGGGCAGCACAGCCATCAGGGACGCATCCTGCGGGGACAAGGGGACAGCTGAGCCCCCCCGGTGACCCCCCCCCACAGGGTAGAGACACACCCGGGGGGGGACCCTGTCACCCCCGTCCAGTCGTGGTGACATTTCCTACCTCCGCCTCCTCCTGCGGCTCCGACTCACTTTGCCCCATGGCCGCGGCGGGGCTCTGCCCATGCAAAAACCTGCAAAAACGGGGGGAAATAGTTTAAAAAAAAAAATAAAAATAGAGGTTTGTGACATGGGGACCCACGACAGCCACCGAGGGACTGGTGACAACAGGGTGACACCCCGCAGGGGGTAAAACTCCACTGGGGGGTTTAGCCCCGATTTGCCACGTGTTG